ATGACAGGTATGCACTTAGCAGACAGGGTCATAACTACAGTGTGATTATGTTTGTGATTGTTTTGTGGGTTTGTGCATGACCCAAGAGGAAATGCAGTAGTTAAAAGGAGAAATATATAACTTTGCATAGAATAATAGCATGGTTTCTGTTGAAGATTCTGTTAAGATCACCTAGTTCCAACTCGTGCTATAGGCAGGGACATCTCCCACTAGACCATGTTGCTCAAAGCCTCAACCAGCCTGGCCTTGAATGCTTTCAGGGAGGAGGCATCCACAACCTCTTTGGGCAATTTGTTCCAGTGTCTCACCAGTCTCATAGTAAACAATTTCTTCCTAATATCTAGTCCAAATCTACCCTCTTCCAGTTTAAAGCCATTTCCCCTTGTCCCATCAATACATGTCCTTATAAAAAGTCCCTCCTCAGCTTTCCTGTAGGCTCCTTCAGGTACTGGAAGGCTGCTATAAGGTCCCCCCAGATCCTTCCCTCCTCTAGGCTGAATAGCTCCAGCTCTCTCAGACTGTCCTTGTAGGGAAGGTCTTCCAACCCTTTGATCATCTTTGTTGCCCTCCTCTGGACCTGCTCCAACAGCTCCATGTCCTTATGTTTGGGGATCCAGAACTGGATGCAGTACTCCAGGTGGGGTCTCACAAGAGCAGAGTAGAGGGGCAGAATCACCTCCCTTGAACTGGTCACACTTCTTTTGATGCAACCCTGGCTACGGTTGGCCTGCTAGGATGCAAGCCCATTGCCAGCTCACACCGAATCTTTCATCAACTGACACTCCCAAATCCTTCTCCTCAGGGCTGCTCTCAAGCCATTCTCCACCCAATCTGTATCTGTGCTTGGGATTGCCTCAACCCAGGTGCAGGACCTTGCACTTTTGTCCTAAGACTCTGCTATCTTCTTACAAGGAAGTCTATTCACAGTTGCTTATGGAGTCTGGAGAGATTATGGATTCACCATACTATCACTCTCTTTTATGTACAGTATTTAGTTTTGCAAAGTTCCTCTTACAGGATGCCTATAGCATGGCTTTGTCATACTGTATGACATCCTTAGGAATTCCCCCAGTCCCCATGGCACATATGTGTTTGCACACACATAAACAACAGGCTATTTCTACGCTAACCCATGCCAAAATACTTTTTATGCTGTTGCTTTCTCAGCCTCCAGACCAAACAGAAAGACCACATGTATTTCCAGATCAAATAACAGAAGTCAAGGGTGAAATGAAAAAAAGAGGCTTGCCATCTCCAAAAGGAACATAAACATGTGATACATGGAAAAGTGCAAACAGTTTCATTTTTTGAAGGTGACAAAACCTTCAATTTAATCTCATGAAAAACACTTCAGCATTCCTCTACAGAGGCTGTGCAAAAGAAATGATTACTGAAAGCCACCAAGGCACAAATAACAGCATTCTCATAATGGCATTTTAAAGATAAAGAAAGTTTACAAAGATTATTCTGGTCTAGGGTCACCCTAGAGAATCCCTAGAGAATCAGTGTTACAGCTGGGGGGAATCTAAAAGTAAGCAAAAAAGCAGTTGTCAGCATCATAGTCTGCAAAACCCTGGCTCAAAACTAAATGATTTAAATGATTGAGCCTGAACATGAAAGCATGTTCCACATTAATTGGTCCGGCTTCAAGGACTGGCAAATCAAACTCAGTTCAAAATATTATCAACATGGCACAAAAACAAAGAAACAAACAAATTTTTAAAAACAGATATGTGCCAATCAGAGAGCACCTCTTAGAGGTACATGAAAAACAAAATATTTTTCAACCTTGAGCCACAGGCAGAAGCAAACCCTATGCAGCACAACATATGCAGACTGATGCAACCACTGTGTCTTTGCCACATTCAAGTCTGTGTGAGCTGTCCCTGTTCTAACAGCCCTCTCCCCACTGTCTATGTAATCAGAGCACTCATGTCCTGCTCTCACACTTCGCCCATGCCATGACCTCACTCCATTTCATTACCATCACTACTGCTCAGACATGGTCATATTTCAGAGCCACTCAGAATTGTAGCTAAAAACTATTAGGATTTGTCCTTTTCATATTTGCTGTTATCTGGTGATCAATACCAAAGGATCATCTATTAATCCTCCAGCTTGCTGATAAAAAAAAAAAGCACCACTACCACAGTGACAGAGAAGTGTATAGTACACACAGCTAACGGGAAAGACTTTGTAAAATAGTTTTCTGATTTCATATTTCATATTTTGATGGGCTTCTTTTAAAATAAATAAAAAACTAACTAGGATGTACAATATTCTTGTGCTGAAAAGCTCTGCAAAATCAAACTTATTAAAAATAACTTGTATTAATGAGCTACACTTTTATCCAGTATGACTCCATTAACAGTATCTAACATCAATAAAGTCTTAGGTCCACAGAGGTTTCTGTGCACATATTATCCAGGGAGACAACTCTTTGTAAGAATTGCAAGAGTCCATGAAAGCCATTACTAGTCCCAGGACACTCTGTTCATTAAATACAGTTGTGTTCATGTAGACTCAAAGACATGAAATGCTTTAAGGCCAGTATAAACCCAAACTTGTATTTCCTGCAATGTTTGTTTGACTACTTGAAATAGTATATTACTTTTCTATTGGAAAATAATGTCCTTAGATGACAAAGATTTTAACTATAAATAAAGTCCTTACCACAATCTTGTAAGTTTGAGCTGTCATTGCCAGGATATTTAGATGGCAAGACAGACAAGCATGTAGACCCTGGATTTCTAGGGAGCTGTACACACCTTCAGCAGAGCACGTCTTCAAAAGGAGGGAAGAACTGCTATAAGTAACATTGACCCTGTGGTAGTGGACAAGAGAGCAGAGCCTGATCTGGGAGGCAGGAAGATAGGGTGGTCCTTCCTCATTTATCTGAAACTGTGCATCATTCAAGGAAATGAAGCTCCATTTACAGTCTATGTGCCTTGGTTTGTTACCCCAGGACCTTCCTACCTGCTGATCCTGAAGAATAGCTTGTAAGCACTACCTGTCATCAAATCCTCTTCCCTTCTACTGTGGGAGCAGCAAATTTTCCCATGCATACTCCTGTGAGAAGTATTGTTTCCTTGGCAGTCAATCAAGCTCAAACGTGGCACACAAGGCCCAGCCTGAAAAAGTGAAAAGTGTGCAAACCTCTCCCAAGGGAAAGTACATGGCTTTAGGAAAGACACCCTCAGAGAAGGACAAAGGAACAGCAAGCTTTGAACTGCAGCACATAGCTTTTAACCATATCTAATATCACCTACAATTATTTCCACATAGCTTTAGCAAAATGACTTTTGCCATCTCCTTTGAGTCAGTTTCATACAGTCACTGCAAGGGTTACGCGTGGTGATGAAGTTCAGCATTACTCAGGTTTCTCTCAGGACTGCAAAAATGCAGAATTATCATAGTTACAAATGAGGTGTGTGTGCTGGGAGAGAATTATTTCCCTTGGAATCTACAGTGGATTCCTTTCTCTTTTGTCTTTTATCATTAGCTGAGACAGGAGAGTAAGTCACTACGACAAGTGAATACATAGAGTACGTACCATGATCTTGTCAGCTCTGGAGATGGATCTACTTGCTGTTTATGTACTCACAGCACCATAAAGACAAATACTCTTGTTAATGTAATATGTTTTCAGAGATCATTTCACCATTAAACCATGATCTCCTGAATATGGGAGTAGGTGATAGCTCTCATGTCCAGTCAAGAGGAGCAATCAATTAAGAACATAAACACAGACATTTGCAACAGCAGTCATTATGTAGAGAAATTTCCCACAGGTAGGAAACCACAAGAAACTCACTCTGTGTGTATCAAAGAATGTAGTCTAAGCTAGCCACCCAGCTTTGATGCCTTGCATTTCTAATGGCTCCAATAACATCAGAGCCCACACAGCAGTCTCAGCTCTGTGCTGGCTACTTCTGCCTCCAGTACACATGAAGACCTCTGCCCATGACTACAAGTGGAAACTGGGCTTACATAAGGTCACAGACAGGGGACTAGCAGGAAGCTCTGAGACACCACCACAGAAGTTTGCTGGATGTATTCGAACACAAGAACACACAGACCCAGACCTCTGACAAACCACTGCCCCCAGTGCCTTAGGAGACTAAATATCTTTCCGTGCTACATAACATCACTTCTTTCTGGGCATTGGAAATTCCCATGTTAGATGAGTCAGAGAGATAAATGCAGCACCAAGACTTTCTTTGTTTAATTTCTTTAAATATTTAATGAGTTCCTACCTCACAACAACTGCATTAGCTTCTGCACACACAACTGCACACTGGTCTAAACCAACCTCTGCCGTCTTGGAAAACAATTTGCTTCCCCTTTTGGATATCCATCATAGCCCAGGGCAACTTATGGACAGGAGCAAAAAGGGAATTTTCTTATGGCAGCTCCAGTTATTTACAGCCCAATCTAACTGCTATAAGCTGTTAAATCTTCAGTGAGAATTCCTGTGTGATTCTAAGTTTTGACGGATGTTTGGGAACACTTATGCAGATCTCTATTTCAAAATGACTGATTGTGGATCCTAATCATTCATCAGTATGGTATGTGAAGTTTCAGAAAATGATAGTCTTTTTTGCCTGCAAGTATCATTTGTCCTTGTTCCCAGAAATATAAGTTCCTTTGAATGAAATGAAAAATAATGCTTATAAACAATGATCACAGAAAACTTGAATGAAAAATGAAGGATGAACCAAGGCATCGTTATTTCTGCACTCATTTTCTTCGCTACCGTGGGAGACACAACGCTCCCACGCGGGCTGCTGGGCAGCCTGGTCTCGTATTAACTGTGGAGGCTGGTGGCCCCGCATGTGGCACGGGGGTTGGAGCTTCATGATGCTTGAGGCCCCTTCCAACCCTGCCATTCCGCGATTCTGTGATTCACCACAGCCTCTCCGGACGGCCGGGTCGGGCAGTAACGCGGCACCTCCCCACGCCGGCTCCGCCCCGCCGCATCGCGGCGTGCCTCGCACAAGATGGCGGCGCCCACGCTGTCGCGGCGCTGTTGCCGCGCGGCGGAGTTATTTGGCGCCCTGCGGCGGGCCCGGCCACCGGGAACGCGGCACGTCCACGAGCGGCCGCAGTGGGCCCGCGGCGCCAAGGGGCTGCTGGCGGCGCAGTTCGAGCGCGGCCTCTTCCAGGAGGTGTTCCCGGCGCAGGGCGCGGACGAGCAGCTGGAAGCGCTGCTGGAGCCGGGCCGCCCGCCCGTCGCCGTTTACTGCGGTTTCGACCCGACGGCGGACTCGCTGCACGTCGGGCACCTGCCGGCCGTCATGGCGCTGTTGCATTTCCAGCGCGCCGGACACACCGTCCTGGCTGTGGTGGGCGGCGCGACGGCGCGGCTGGGAGACCCCAGCGGCCGCGAACGCGCGCGGGAGCCGCTGGAGGCCGAGAAAGTGCGGGCCCACGCGCGGGGGCTGCGCGAGGGGCTGGGGCGGCTGCTGGAGAACCACCGCGCGCTGTTCTGGGCGGCGGGCGGAGGGCGGCCCCTGGGCCGGGCGGAACTCCTGGACAACGCGTGGTGGCTGGGCCGCGAGCCACTGCTCGACTTCCTATGCGGCGCCGGCGGCCGCCTCCGCATGGGCACGTTGCTAAGCCGGCAGGCCTGCCAAGCGCGGCTGCGCAGCGCCGAGGGCATGAGTCTGGCCGAGTTCCTGTACCCCGCCCTGCAGGCCTACGACTTCTTGCACCTCCACCGGCACCACGGCTGCCGCGTGCAGCTGGGCGGCGCCGACCAGATGGGCAACATCATGTCCGGATACGAGCTCGTCACCAAGTACGTGGGGCGGGGCTGCGGTGGACGGTGGCCGTGCTTGGGGACCTGCGGGTCGTCCGGGTGGGCGGTAGAGCCGGCGGCATCCCGGGTTGGATCAGAAGTAGCGCAGCCAGCGGGAGCAGGGAGGTGATCGTCCCTCTGTACCCGGCGCTGTGGGACCGCATCTCGAGTGCTGTGTTCAGTTCTGGGTCCTTCAGTGCAAGAAAGAGACTGGTGCCCTGGAGCGTGTGCACGAAAGGGCAGTGAAGCTGTAAGGGGTCTGGAGCGCTGGGCTTGCGGGGAGCGGCTGAGGGAACTGAGATTGTTCAGTCGGGAGAAGAGGAGCTGAGGGGATACTTCATCACTATGAATGCCTGAAAGGAGGTTGTGGTGTGGTGGGGGTCGGCCTCTTCTCCCAGCTAGCAGTGATAGGACGGCAATGGCCTCAAGTTGTACCAGAGGAGGTACAGGTTGGATATTGGGAAACATTTCTTCTCAGCAAGAGTGGTGCTGCAGTGGCACAGGCTGCCCAGGGAGGTGGTGGAATCATTGTCCCTGAAGGTTTCAGTAACTGTGTGGATGTGGCACTGAGGGACGTGGTCAGTGGGCATGGTGGGGATGGGTTGGTGTCGACCTAGACAATCTTAGATATCTTTTCTGACCTTAATGACTCCATGATTCAAACATCTTGAATAACAGCATGCAGACAGATCTGCTGCTGCCAAATACTATCAAGGTGTAATTGCACCAAAGTGAAGGTGTAGTATGTGCCTAGAGATGGCTGCAGTGCTTCCCCCAGAAACACAGTGAAAGCTGCTGCTGAACCTTTGCTTATCCCCAAGTTAGGTGCCAGTCTTGCATAATTCAGAGGCACTGCTGGTTGTAGGTGGCAAAGTTTGGCCTTGCGTGTGTGCTTGACAAGACGCTCAGAACAGAAAAAAACCATCATAGGTATCCTAACCCTATCCTATAACCTAATCCTAACAGGCAGCCTCAGTTACTATTCAGAGCAGAAGACAGAAGTACATGTCACGTTAACTTGCTAGCGCTACTGCTCACAAAGCTATTTTACATACTTAAACTTCATTGCACAAAGAACTTAATTTTTTTAATTCCTTCTTTTTTTTTTTTTTTTTTTTTTTCCCCTAAAGCACTCTTCATAAAACAGTTCTGAATTACTTTGCTAACAGCTGTGTAATTGCTAAGGGATAGTATCTTACAGGATGCCTGAGTTTTCTTAACGATGACCAAAATGTGATTTTTCGTCTTCTCTAATCCTCACAGGATGACAGGAACAGATGTGTTTGGAATTACAGTGCCTCTTATTACCAGTACTACTGGAGATAAACTGGGAAAGACTGCTGGCAATGCAGTTTGGCTAAACAGAGATAAGACTTCTCCGTTTGAGCTGTATCAGTTTTTTGTTAGACAACAAGATGACATAGTTGAGAAGTAAGTAGTTTTTCTTCATCTGTCTTCCTGGCTTTGTTTATGAAACTACATCCTGATGGTTCTCTGTAACTGTTGCATGTGGATGTACTTCCAGTACATGCACACGTATTTATATCTACATAGTGGATCATCTTGCATAGTTTTTGGGCTGATTGCACTCCACTTGGGACACCACTGGCCTACATAAAGATACACGTAGTCGACAGTTACACTGCAGCAGTAGCACAATTGAAGAGGAGAGAACAACACTTTTTTAAGTCCATGGCAGACAATATAAGTTTATCTACAAGGCAGAGGTTTTCAGAATTCAATTTTAAGTCATTGTTGAAAGTAAAAACAAAGGCAGAGGGGCGAAACAGAACCATCAAAGTTCACATACCTGGTCAAATTGCTAATTGCTTGAGCCTTCTCAAAGCAAGTAATAATCAGCACCCCATGCTAAGGTTTAATAGTGTAACTGCAGTACAAACATCTCTCATAACTTGGCTTGATTCCTATATGGAGGTTCTGCATCAACAGCACTTTTCAGACTGAAAAAAGGCTGTGTGGATATTTAACATCAAAATGTTTAATGCTTTCAGACTTTGTAATCATGGAAGTACCTTCATTAATACACTGAATTCCACACAGCTGCATGCCCATTTAAATAAACCTTGTTGTAAAGAGTATACTTCTGATATGCACCTTTAAATTGTTGATGATCCTAAATAATCTTCTGCAAGATACACAGTCATCAATGCACAGCGTAATTCTGTCTGGTGATCAGCATAGCTGCATGGCTTTGCATTAATATACTGTGTAACTACTAAGGATGTAAGTTAGAACCTCCCAAGTAGACACACAATTGCAGTACGTTCTATAAAGTACATTTCATTAGAAAAGTAAATTCCTGATTGTAATACAAGCTTCATAAAAGCTTTTGGAGCTGTTTTATTTCTGTACGCATTACCCTTAATAAAATGGTAAATAAAACACGAGTTACCATTTTAAATTTAAGTATGTGGGCAAAAACAAAGAGTTGTTTGAAAGAATAGCTGTAACATGGATTTCTTAAAGAAATAAGAATCATTTTAGTGCAGTTAATGAAGTTTGAATGACAAGGACAGGAAATCTGTAACGTTTTTATAGACAAAATAATTTTTTTTTCCCTGCTCACAGATACCTGAAACTCTTCACCTTTCTTCCTCTTGAGGAGATTGACCACATCATGGAAATGCATGCCAGAGAGCCTGAAAAATGGGGCCCTCAAAAGCGACTTGCTGCAGAAGTAACAAAACTTGTTCATGGCAGAGAGGGGCTGGAATCTGCTAAGAGGTGAAGTTCATTTTGTTGAGCATTTCTCTTTCAGATATATCTGATGGTAGTTTAGTTATGTGTAGCTTTTCAGGGACTGTTTTAATGGAGTTAGCTGAGACTTTGCTATTAAGAGAATTATATAGCAATGCTCTAGACTTAAGAGATACATAAACTATCTTAAAATTGCAAGAGAATGGAGTCCAAAAAAACCCACGAATTCAAAGTTAGAAGGGTAGCTCCTAAATTCTTTTGTTACTGTGCGGAGCATCAGAAGAAATTGGGGAGGGGAATCTTTTCAGTTGAACTGTGCTTTGTCCAAAGATGAGACTAGAACTGATTCTGAATGATTTTTGTTCTCACAGGTGCACCAAAGCCCTTTATCACAGCAGTGTGGAGGCACTGGAAGCTATGTCTGACCAGGAGTTACAGGAACTTTTTAGACAGGCTCCTTCGGCTGAATTGATGCTTGAACCTGGAATGACTCTGCTTGACCTGTGTCGCAAAGCAAATGCCATTCCACATGGACCTAGTGGGTATGTTATCAGCCCCACTCTTCAGTAGTACCTCACTTGAATGGGTGGAAGTGGCGTGCTCACTTTAACAAGAGGTCAGAATAACTAAAACAGTAAAGTGTAAGTTACCTGCATGTTATAGAATCATAGAATGTCTTGGCTTGAAAAGGACTATAATGATCATCTAGTTTCAATCCTCCTGCTATGTGCAGGGTCACCAACCACGTGACCAGGCTGAGAGGGGAGGACTCATTGCATTTTGAAGAGAAAGTGTAGGATAATGCAGTGTCATGTACCATAGCTGTAAAATATACAGCTGAGAAAGAGACAGCAACAGATTACGTTCCCTTTATCCCTCTCAGGAGTAGAGGATGTGTACAAGACTTAAAATTTATTCAGTTACAAATTAAACCAAAGAAGCATCTGAAATAACTCTTAACTGATCTTTCAGTACTTACCAGCAACAGGTATCTTCCTCTTGCAATTACTCATTGTTTTTGTTGTTGGTTTCTTTTTTTTAAGGTACCAGAAAATTACAGACGGTGGAGTTTCAGTAAATGGGATTCGTATAACCAATCCTGAGACTGTTCTTATTCTTGGACAGCATATTCTCAAGAATGGAGTATCATTGCTTAGGATTGGAAAGAAAAACTACTACATTATAAAATGGCTCACATTGTGACAAGAAGAATATCTTCCTAAAATTAGACACCACTTCAACTCTGTTGCTTGAAGAATGTAATTGAAGACGTTTCTATACTGTGCAGCTCACAAACTGCCTAATAGCATAGTTTCAGTTTTCAGAATACATCAACAGAGTTCAAATAAAGGCAGCTGAGATTCTAAACATGTATGATTTCATGTTTTAGCTCTGGAAGTGAATCACTGAACCAGAAAATGATAGAAATCCATACCAGATTTTTTCCTCATCTGCTGTCCATCTCATTCCTTCACAATGATCACACTTCACGTAGGCCACAGATTGCACATAGCAGAAAAAGCTGCATGCTATATTATAGCAGTTGCACACCTACACTGGATTTTTTAACTCCACTAAGGTTATGCATTATAATTTGTTACAGCTGGGCTTTTTCTTAACTTACTCCTTTTTAAGTTAATGCAGTGGCTGTCAGTATCAGCTGTTGCCCATGAAGAGTACTGATTCATGTGATGTGCTCTCTCCACTAAAGTATAAGATACAGATCTAAAATACCAAAAAGGAGTGTTTGAAATTGCTTTGGAAACAGGTACCACTGAAGTACAGAACTGGAAAACTGTCACATGCAGCTCTTAGAAGTTACACCGATGAAGAGAGATTTCAAGCACCATTCATAAAAGAATATGCATGAGAAGATGAAAAGATCCATTTCAAGGAACCAAGATGGAAACTCTCTTCCAACTACTGTATTGTAGGTGGGAGGGGCAATGGTCACCAGATATGCTACAGAACAATTCACAGCAAGATGTGCAAAGGGATACTTGAAACCTTTCCTAACAAGATGAATGCTGCTGTTGACTTTTGACTTCATCCTAACATAGAAAATCAGGATAAGTGGGTAAGGACAAACAACCTACTATCAACAGTTTTTTGTATTTTTTTTTCTTAACAGGTTTGGTTTAAAGCTGCAGAAGATTCACAATAAATAAGTGAAACAGTTAAGTCCTGATAAGTAAGCTTATTATTGGTTTTGTATGGGAGCATAACGCGTATGAGCTTTGCAGCTTTATTGTGGTAATACAGCACTGATTCACTTCTTGAAATGGGAGGGGAGATAGATAAGTGTTTTTGCAATTAAAATCCAGCCCTTCAGACAGGGCAACATGCAAAAGCAGCACCTTTTCATTACAGAACACAGAATCGTTCTAGTGCTTATGGCCTTGCTAACATTTGGGAGCACAGCTTCCCAGTTCCCTTGTAAGACCAGCACAGAGGTGAGGACATACTTCAGGGAGTAGATGGAACATTACGTTCAAAGGCAGTGGTGTTTTATTCATTGTTCTGAAAAAAACACCTTCACTGCTGGATGCTGATACTGCTTACACACCTAAAATCTGTACAGAGCCTTGCTATCTTCAAACTTTTCCCTTCCTGCGTTGGTGTTGCTTATGGAACATTGGTCCCACATTATTCACAGTCCTGCAACGTAAACAACACAAAGCTACACATGGTTACCAAAAATATTAGCAGTAAAAGTTGATACTAAAATAACATAGAACTGGATAACTGACTGCAAATTACAGTAATTTAGCAGTCTGGCTCAAACTCCAGTGTTGTTTTTTTGTTCATTTCTGAAGGGACCCTTCCTTCCTTCCCCAGTGTAAACAAATATGAAATCCTCTTGGATTTATAAATTGATTGCTTTGGGCACTGACTGCAGTGCAGTTTGCAAAGATTCAGTTAATCCTTGCTGGGGGGAAATGCTTTCCTAGTCTGTCAAACTGTATCATCTTACAGTTTCACAGTCATAGCAGCTGCAAGGAGACTGACCCTAAACTCTGCTGTCTAGATAGTGGTATTTAATCATCATCTCTTACACTGTTGGAATAAGTCATGGTATTTCAGCTGCTTCAAAACCATCTGATACATAAGAATTGGGAAATAACTACAAGAAATTCTAACACTTCTCTAGGACCCCTAATATTCTCTATCTTTCAGGACGGGAGAGGAGGGGAGTAGTGGTTTTTGTTTTTGCTCAATCAACTTGGTGGTGGTTTTATCTGCATTGTCAACCAAGATTTCAGTAATAACAAGTTATGGTGGCTTACTGCTTATACACCAGGGCTTATTTTTCAGATTAAGCTGTAACATGGTGGTGCTTCACTACATGGAGTTATTTTCAGCCTAAGATCCCAATTACTTATTGAGATATCCACGTCCTATATGTTATTTTACTATCTGTAATATACAACAGTATACAACAATATCGTGTATATTCTATAGCTATATGAAGACAAAAAAAGTACTTAAGTTATTCCTTCCTTGAAAAGAAAAAAAAAAACAACCTATACATCTCCTGTCAGTTTTCAAGACCAGTTTGCGTTTCTTGCAATTTTGCTCTGTGCTGCAATGATGATCAGAGCTCTCCTACACATACAAATCCAAAAAACCAAACACACTTCTGATGGGAAAATGATAGAAGAACAGCAAGAGAAACTAAGCAGTTCTTGCTTTCCTCGAAGATCTACTTTGTGTGCTTTTGTATTTATCTTGTTCCTTACTTGGTAGAAGCATTGCAGCAATGCAAAAATCTGCACCCGAGAACAAAATACACCAGTGCACACCCATATTAAGCTCCAAATAAACACAAATAGGAGTTAACAGCTACTTTCTGCTTGCAGATAAAACTCCTCAGAGTAGATTAAGTCATTTTTCATACCTAATCTCCTCCTGCCTTTTTCCCCTCTGTATCCACAGATCCTCATATATCCTCAAATTTCAATTTATTTTTTAAAGCATTAGCACCCACTTTCATAAGTATTAAAAGGATTTTATTTGTTTTTACAAATACAAAATTGAAAAAGTTAAATTCTCTGTATACAAGATTTATAATAAGATCCATCAACTCCAAGAGCTTTATTCTGTGCTTCTTTCTAACCAGCTCCTAGTAATCCAAACCCTTCCCTGATTCTTTCTAAGAGGTGGCTGGATGCAACCACTACATGTCACACACACCCTGTACACCTGAGTGTTACAACAGTTAGGCCAAGAATCAAAGACAACTTAAAAACCCAGTATTCTTTCTTGGGCTGTTTTTATTCCTCAGATACCAAAATATACTCAAATCAGGTATGTTCAAGTGATCATTCAGAGACAGAGCTCGTTCAGAGATGAACAAGTGGAAATAGACTATGAAGTATTTACTGCGTGTGCAAATGTGTGATTTGCAAGTATAGGAAGAAAAGCAGTATTTTTGGGTCAGAGATTTAAAAAGAACAACAACATGAAAAGAAAAACAACCATCTGCTTAGCAGCAGGAGACAGCACAAACCAAAGGACTCCAATATTGTGGCAGCCAGCAGTAAGTGGTGGCTGCTTTCAAGTAGCACTTCTATTTGTAAAGGTGGTAGGAGGTGAGAGGGCCTGCAGCGAATAAAAAAGAAGCTATCTGAACATAAAAACACCTTCAGCAGTTTAAAAGATGTAACTATTTGGACATAATACACAGTTGGTCTACTCTTTTTTAACTTCAAAGAATTAATCGTCCAATTCTCTCACCTCCAAATGCAGAATTTGACTGGCAACAAGTTAAAAAAACGTGCATTTGAGAACTTCAGTATCTGCAGAAAACACTGTTAGTCTGCTTGCATAACTGAAGGATTTAATTGAAGGGAAAAAAAATACACAAAATTATGCAATTTTGAAACAGAAACAGCAGACTGATAAGTTTTTTCCCCTGCTGCAGTTCCATAAAGCAGGGACCTGAGTTTGCAGGGTGTCCAATTTAGCATCTCTCATATTTAGTCCGCCATACCACAGAGGTTAAAAATGAGTTTCACTTCAGTTTTGATGCATTTTACTTCAGAATACAGTTTGAAGCAGACAGACACTCCCCTTACCCACCAAGTGAAGTTCAAAACTGACTACTAAAAGACTCACAAAATTTATTGACAAACTTTTCACACAGATACTGTGTTTTATTTACAGTACTACCACACACAGGTCAGGTATTAAATGTCAAACATTTACTAGTCTAAACTTGGCTACAGAAGTTGTTCTCTCTGTGATTGCTTCACAGGATAGAAGTTGGTTGGTTGGTTTGTTTTTTTAATTAAACTGAAAGTTGATCATTGATGACAGAAATATTTCAGGTTTAAATTAAGTGAGGTTGACTGTAAGAGATGCATCATCTAATCTAGTGAGACTTCTCACCAGCTGCCCAGTATTTCTTCTAAGGGTGGCAGCAACAATAGCACTTAGTTCTGTTTCAGACAATCCATAAAACAATTAATGGCCACCAGTTGCCTATCAACCCTATTACTTACATAACTGCAGTAACTGTTATAAGAAATAAAGATGATGAATTGCAGGAGGGCAACTGCAAACTTAAGGCTGTAAAAGCATTCTTAGCTATCCCCCAAACCTGTAAGGGTATACAGTCCTGCCACCTGAACTACAAGTGAGTTCAAAACTTTATTTCTGGGATCATTCATTTTGTATAGTATCTGTTTATTTAATAACAGGGCTGGTACAGCATGGATTTTTCAAGATTTGCACTGAGGTTGACAAGTTCATTTCTTGGCACTCAAACATTACCAAATTAAAAATGTTTATAAAGCAAAAAAAAATTAAAAAAATTAACATTTCAAAAAAAAAAAAAAAAGCCACAGATAAACACTTTGGAGACTTCACATGACATTACAGAGCCAGTTATCACTTGCAAGACATTCTTAAATAAATAGAACTCATCTGCTTTATGTAGCACTTGAAAACTTTGTAATTCAGAATATCCCTTGACAACAGACTGCTGATTGACATTTGGGAGTTAAAACATAGGTTCACTTAGGGACAGTTCTGTTTTGTTGAAAGCATTTCTTAGATGCCAAAAGTACAAGGGAAGGAGATGCCAGGGGAATTCCAACTACAAATGTAATGCTTTTGACCAAATTCTTAAAAGCTTTCACTGTTGGCTAAAATTCACTTGAGAAGTGGCTTGCACTTCATTACACTTGCATTTCTTACATCTGAGAACTACCATCCCTGAATAAGAAGTGATAAGTTACAATTACTTCCTTTATATTCATTATACGTAACATAAACATTGTGACTTTTTAAGCTGTTTAAAAATACAGATTACATTTCTATGTCCTGTGTGAACTACTTCAGGTAACACATAAAATAACAAGAATTGCACGTGAGACTTAACTCCTTGTGTTTATAGTGGTGCCAAACTCAAAATTATTATGTGAAAGAATAAATTTTTAAAACAGATCTTGTCAGAAACTGAGACCTTAACAGTTTTTTAATTTTTAATTTTTAGCAGCTTACAGCAGGAGTTCAGTTTCTGTTAATTGATGAAATGAGAGAGGAACTGAATAGAGGAATAAAAGCCTCACGGTACTGGCCCAACATCCTAAAAGAAGACCATGGCTGTTAACAGCTTTCTCTCATTTTTCAAATGCAAGTCATGTTAAAGATAAAGTATCAGCAACCACTGTACACATTTTTTACTGTATACAAAAAAGTAGATCTGTTTGAAAAGTACATGCAAGTGTGCTGGCTGGAATTTAAATAATTTTTTTATTCATAAAAATTAAAATGCTTATCCTTTAAAGGTTAGCGTGAACAGTGTTTGACTGCATGAATTACAATCAGAAGAAAGTAACTCAACTTCCAACTTAAGGTTTCCTAATGTGATTGTCCTTAAAAAAAAAAAAAAAAGAAAAAAACTACTAACAGTACAATTTTCCTTACAAGTAACTGTGATCTCTAGTATAAATATTCCAATCTCACAGGCTTTCTTTCATACTGTCCTATCTTCCAAAGTTTGGTACTGTGTTGTGGGGATCCCCTTCTCCCTGGCCAACTTTATCTGGTTTTGAAAAAAACACTTGTTATCCTGTAACAGTTTTGAAATCCATTTTTATTTTATTTTATTTTTTTTTTCAGTTGTGCCAGAACAAATTTACTATTGGATGGTCCAGGGCCTTGGTCCCAAGGGG